CCGGCTGCGCGATCCGCTGCCATCACCCGCTTAGTCACTGAGGCCCGACTGGGCAGGCAGTGTCCGCCCGTTTCATGGAGGCTCCTTAGTAACCCCGTCTAGGTCCCGGTCACCTGCCTGGTTAAAGACACACAGAGAGAGGGCAGCCTGGCTCCTTTGCGGGGAGAAGTCCTCGAGGTCTAGGGGGAAATGGCTGATGGACTAGGGGCCGGGGATACAAAGACGATTATGACACAGTCCTCTCCCCAAAGTGTGCACGTACCAGCGGAGGCAAGTGCAGAAGCTGAGAGTGGCACTAGCACGGATAGGACACGGAGCTAAGGGAGGATAAAGGAGCTTGTGGGTCAGTCTTGTAGAGGGGAAATGGCATCAGGGAGGGCTTCTTGGAGGAGGTAATATCCTGATTGGCCCAAGTGAACCTGTCAGAGGGCCGGACTGTTTGGTGCATTCTGGAGACATGCAGGTACTTAGGGCTGCCCAGATGAGCACAGACTGCTAGGGCCCGGGTGGGAGGGAGTGGCAAACGGGGGCCAGATCCACGTGGAGCCCTGTGCATCGTCTGAGAAATACAGCAGTTAAGGGGCAGGATGCTGGGAGCTCTCAGATTGGAAACAGCTGATGGAGGATGGATTTGACACGACCTAGAAGGGTTAAGGTCTGCACCAACCCAGGAGACATCATAAGGCTTCACCTAAGGCTGGATTTCGGGGAATTAGAAGGGGACAGCACCCAGCAATACTTTCAGGGTAACGTGGTCAGGATTTGGTACTTGGAACTGCGAGAGAGAAGAGGAAGGAGGGGCGGAAAGGCCTTCTGTTTGGGGTTGCTGTAGATCAACGAGAGGGAAGTAGAAGGGCCGTGCCAGGGATCTGGAGCCGCCAGAGACTCCTTGCCTGAGGAAAGGTGGAAGGAAGATTCTCAAGGTGATATCAGACCATCTAGGAGAACAGTTCAAAGGCGAAAAATGAAACATCCGAGTCCTGCCTCCCTCCTGCTACCCCACCAGGCAAATCCAGACCATCGCTCCACTACCAAGAAACTGCTGGGCAAGGCAGAGGTCTCTTGAAACGCTGTGTATCCCACAGATTTTAAGCATCACTTGAAGTGTTTCTTCAGGTTAAACATGATACAGAAAACACAATTGTGTTTCTGTTCACCCCATGTGTGCTACCAACAAAGTTTTGAGAGATAGCTTGAAATACGAAAGTGTGAGTGCAGGTACAGTTCAGCTTCTGCCTTTCCCTAGCCCCCCCCCCCTTTAAGTATTTTGAGTCAATAAAATAGAGGAAAGTAAAGAGAAG